GGGGGGGTCAATTTCATTGAAACCAAAATGGCTTTAATGGAATTTGAAGGAGGTAAGGAATAATAAAGAAGTCACATGTTGACTTTAAGTGTTTATAAAGCTGTTCTCAGTGGGAGATATAAAAGTCTCTGCAAGACTGATTGTTGGATTGTTGACAGATTCATGCCTCTGTCAATCACAGTATACAATGCAAACTAATATCTGTTGAGAAGGGAGCACTGACCATTTTATCCTTAAGTGTAAGTGACACCAGTAATGTTTCCATTTACAATTCATGGAACCTGTCCAGCAGTTTATCAAGGACAGGCCGTGATGACACAGTGCCTGGCCTTGTGTCCCCAGAGTGTTCAGAAATGAAGTCATTTTCAAGAGGACTGCTTGCCCTGCATCTCTTGGGATTTTCCCAATGTAACATAACCCAATCACAGATGTTACAAATTAATAATTCATCCTAATTTCTGAGAGTATGTGTTTTTTTTTAAAGCTGGAGTAGCCCTATATTTTTTTTGTTAACTGAGAAAATCTGTTTTTAATATAATACTAATACAGTAGATTCACCAGAGGGGGATTCCATGCTGACAGCAAATATTAAAATTTAGTATCATTAAAAATAAATGGGTAAATTAGTCATATTTATAGCAGCCACAGGCAATAGCTGCAGAATATATAGATGGGGCACAAGTCCAGTATTAATTAACACACAATTTGAGTTTGAAAGTTCTCATCTTTTAAAACACCCTAGAAAGGCTTTATTATATCTCTGCATTTGCAGACAGCAGCACAGTTTATAAAGGGCTCTTTATTCATACCTGGCAAACAAATGTGTCTCTATAGCGTGTGAAAATTCTCAAATGCAAAAGTGATTAGCAAGGGAGTAATGGGATCTATTTAGCACTAAGAAAAGCACATAATTTACCAGCATAGCTTGGACTAATGACCCGTCAACGGGGTCCTGACAACAGCCAATCACTAATGCATTGGAGTTATAACAGAATGCCTGCTGAGTTTCAGGACCAGCTGTCCCACAAACTGGCTCCATGATCTTTGGCAAAAACAGGCTGAATCTGGCTTGAAGTTTAGGAATTGATTTGGGAGGGTTTTAACTTTTGTGTGGGGGCAGGAAAGGGGTATTGGAATTTCCCACCATGACGCAGTTGATCTGAAGTGTTTGTTAAGACTTTGACTATTGAACATGTAGACCAATGGCTCCAATTATTCAGTGTTCCAATTACACATCTTGCTTTAGCTTAAATCACCCAGCCCTTTCAATTCTAGAGGCAGACATCCCCTTTAAGCCTCCTCTTGTGTTCTGATGGGAAAATAGTACCAACATATTTGAGAATTAACTAATGAACATCATGAAGCATGATACAGATTTCGAATGCACTGTAAGTGTTAATGGTAATGAAAATGATAATGTGAATTCTGCACCCACCAGTTGTGCAATATGGAGCACAAGAGTGGAAGGAGTCTCTGTTCACACATACAGGAAGCATGGGATTTGACTGTGGTTGATTAAATGTCACCTCACTCTTTGTTGCAGAGCTGTGGTATGTGACCCTGTGGCCCCCTGTACTGAGACTCTGACATGCCATCTTTCATGAAACTGGGGGTGTAGTAGGAGTGGGGTAGGGGTGGGGTCATGTAGAATGTTGTTGCCCTTCCTTACTCACATCACCTGTGGCGCTGCTTAAAAGGCAGATTTCCAGGTACCACCCGTACTTACCGAATCAGAAACTCTGGGATATTGGCCCAGAAATGCACACTTAATACGTTACTTGATTCTTATGCTTATTAAAGAGAATATTTGAGAACCACTAGTTTAAAGTTATGAATAGAATACATATATTTAGAGCCTTGCCATCTCTTCATTCAGGAATTTTCCATTTTTCATAATTTAAAAAAATCTAGTTTTCTTTCTTATAGTTCCTGCTAATTCCTACAAAACCAGAGGGTTTTCTCATTTTAATGATTACATCTGGAGTCATAAAGAAAGTTGAGATAATTGTGGATTTTGCCTGTTTATGGACCAGTTAGCTAGAGGTGGGGCAGGCAGCTAGGTGCAATAGAAAGTCCACTAGTCCGAAGTCTAGAGATTAGTGTTTATGGTCACGCTTCTTTCACTAATAGCTGTCAATTAATTGTGGTAAGCATTAGGGTTTTCTCATCTACAAAATAAGGGTGAGTAGTCCATATCTCTAAGGGCTCTTTCAATGTTTCAGTTACAGATTTCTAAACAGTTGGCTCACCCAAGTTGGAGGAATTTCTGTTGGTTTTCATTTTGTGGGCTCTAGTTCCTTGGAAAGAAGCAATCTGCTACTAAATTTTGCCTGAGTGGTTGATGAGGGCCCACCTGATCCAATTGTATTTGCTTTAAAATTTCTAAAGTGTTTTAACTGTTGTACTTGGGTGAACAAAAAAATGTCGGTAACGACCCAAATAACTGTATCCAGTTTTTTAAACAACCAACATGGGTTCATAGTCATATGATGTGGGGTGTGTGTGTGTGTGTTTGTGTGTGTGATACATCTGATTGTGCATCATCAATACTTCTTTGTAATGAAGATTTCTGGCCACACACTAAAGACTAAGGAAGTCTTAGGCTTGCGTTTTGGTCTTTGTTCTCCATCACCTTTGGTTTTTCTTCTGGTTTTCTGTATACTGTTTATAGGCATTCAGGTTCTAGCATTTTCTAGATATCACAGAATGAGCATTTTCTTTACAGTGAAAACCTCTTTGCATCGTTCATTAGTTGTTGCTTTTTGTATAGTTTTCTTCTGACCTTTACTGCCCTGGTATTGATTTCCTTATTTTTCCCTCTTGCTATACACTCAGTAACTACTCTTAGGGTTTCCTACACATCTTTTTTAAAAACATCTTTTTCAGGGGTGCCTGGGTGGCTCAGTCGGTTAAGGCTTTGACTCTTGATTTTAGCTCAGGTCCTGCATGATCTCACGGTTCGTGGGATTGGGCCCTGAGTCTGGCTCTGTGCTGGCAGAGAGGAGTTTGCTTGGGATATTCTCTTTCTCTCTCTCTCCTCTGCCCCTTTCCCACTCATGCTGTCTCTCTCTCTCTCAAAAATAAATAAATAAACGTAAAAAAACATCTTTTTCAGACTCTGGGTCATAGCTCATTAGTAGATCATGAAATTAATTTGTAGGAACATTTTTTAAAAGTATCAGAGTAGTAAGTATAAGTATTATTTGAATATGTTTTAATTTTATATAAATGTCTATATGTGTGCATACTCCCATACGTGTGTTTGGGTGTACAGGTAAAATGTATTTCTTACTGTAGGTCACAGTAAAAAATGCTTGAAAATCATTGCTCCCCCAGATAGGATCTATGGCTTCTTGGTCCTATAAGGGACCCCTTTGCAGTGTAACCACAGGACAATAACCACACTGTTTGCATTTCTCTTTTTGGTCTTGGTGACCACCCTGGCTAGACTGGCTGCACTCCCCAGTTGGCAAACACTGGCCAGTCTAGCATCATAGCCAGTGCTTACCACTATATATTTTTGGTCTGACCTACATCCACAGCCTTTTCTGATCTATGAAGTTACTGTCAACACACTGGGAGGTATTATTTATCTTCCTCCCAAGGTTTTGGGTGACAAAGAATCATCCCTAGGAAAAATACCACTAGGAAGGTTGCTCCTTAAGAAACAATAAAGCTCTTTCTCAGTGTTCCCTTTTAAGCTTCCCATTAGCTTCTCTGACTGACAGGAATTAAAGCCTCACATCTGCACACACCACACGCTTTATAATAACTGAAGAACAACCTACCAGCACTTCAGAAATTCTGCATGCTCTTGAGGTGCCTGGGTGGCTCAGTCGGTTAAGCGTCTGACTTTGGCTCAGGTCATGGTCTCATGGCGCGTGAGTTCGAACCCTGTGTCAGGCTGTGTGCTGACAGCTCAGAGCCTGGACCCTGCTTCCGGTTCTGTGTCTCCCTCTGTCTCTGCCCCTCCCCCACAGGCACTCTGTCTCTCTATCTCAAAAGGAAATAAACATAAAAAAAAAAGAAAGAAATTATCCATGTTCCTTCTGTTCCATGTTCTGAAGGGACTAGGAGAGACTATAGAGCAGACTCTCTGAAACAAGGACATCTAACACAACGCCAACCTTCCTAGGGAAGAGGAATGAACATTAGCTGCATAATAGATGCTGAACTGCAGTGGCATGGTCACTCACTCAAACACCAAAGCTCATGGCTATCTCAACTGCAAAATTGAGCTTGGAGGTGGTGAAGGTTTGTGATAAAGCTAAAATAAGAAGGAATGAAGAGTTGGAGTAAGCACACTGTGATGCAAAAGACTCAAAATCTCATTTTCCAAATAAAGGAGAGGTTTGTCTCTTGCTCACATAACAGTCCAAGGAGGATAGTCCCAGTTGGCTATACAGAGTCATTCAGGAACTCAAGCTAAAGGCCTTATGATCCTCTCCCAAGATCTCTCTGTGAAGACACATGCCTGATACGGCTCATAGACCTGGCACGGTGGGTGGCACACATCACTTCCGTTCAGGTTCCTTTAGCTAGAAGTTAATCACATGGCCACAGCTACCAGGGAGGCATTTTACCTGGACAGCCACGTATACTGTGGAAGGCTTGGACAACTGGCTCCCAGCCTCTTTCACAGGGATTAACCATCACTGGGTGCCTAGCATGTACCAAGTATGCTATCAGGTGCTTTAAATACCCTCTTTCAAAGTTAGGTGTGGTAGGTCATACGGTTTTAATTTTTTATAGCAAAGTAAACTGAGGTTCAGAAGATTGAAGTGACAGCCTAGCAAACCATTATCATCTTCCTCCTCAACATGGCAGTTATTATTTACTATGTTTCAGGTGCTTTCAATGCATCAAAACATTGTCTTTTATTGGCTTATTGTGGTAAGGCAGAATGGACTCCCCCCCCCCCCCCCCCCCCC